CCAAAGGTTGCATAGGATACTAAAACATCAGCGGTCAATAATAGATTTGTAGTTAAGAATTTGTCCTTCTCATTAGAAGATTTGGGTTGTAGATATCCATCAAGGTTTACGACATAGATCTTCGAGGTGCTGGTAGATTCTAGGGGGGTGTTTGGGTATGGATAGTTTGTGCAGATGTTTAGGTATTCACAGGTTGGGAGAACTTTACCTTTCGCGGTCCTGGCTCCTAAACTAACAATAGTGTCCTCTTTGTAGTCTAAGTGTATTTTGAGGCTGAAATGGTCTACCCAGTTGACGTCATCGAAAAAGTCTATCTTGGTTATAATGGGATGGATTAGATCTATTCTGGATATTGATAAATGTGTTACTAGTGGCCAAATGAACTCCTGCACATTTGATGTGAGCATATGACTATCCATGGTGATAATGTATCGCGACTTTTCAATCTTCTCAATTTGCTTTCGGAATTGGGTCTGCAAATCAACATTGTTGAATGATAGCACAGAAGAAGGGCAAGTTATGTTCGGCAAAGTGATAAGAATCTCAAGAGGTTTCATCCTAGCACTCAACTCTGAGTTTTCGAGCAGTGTTAAGAGCTGGGCTAGGACCAACCAACCTGCAGAGTTGCAAGGATACCATAGCCAGACTTTTTCCACATTGAGTATGATTTTACTGAACTTCTTTAAGACATCTAATACCCCCATCAGTTCACTTTCTTTCCAATCAAGACGCTGGAGAAACATATCTTTAGCATGCAACGCAGTGGCAGATAGTCCATACTTTTGGGGTTGATTAGCTCTGTTGATATCAAACATTTTCCAAACAGGGAGTGGTTTATATGTTGCTATACGATTGTTGCTGATACTTAGAAACTTCTGGAGAAGCTTTTCTTCCTTTGAGTTTAACTTAAGTGTACAATTCTTTTGCTTCAACTCGGATAGTTTAATTATATCGCTATCAAAAAATGACTCAAGTTCTTCAATCGGAGTTGATTTCTGATCGAAAGTTTGCGCACGGGGTATAAGGTTTAAACAAGGATTGGCTTTGTAGAGAATAGGAATAGAATCGATTGTGCTGTCTTTTAGGTGAAGTGTGTCGTTGTTTATGTCAGGTTCATTTGTTTGGGAGACGCTTAGTTGGGCTGGTAAGATGGATGGTTGTGACTTTATGGGCTTGGGACCAATCGCTTTTGGGGCCTTCATTTCTTTATATCCACTGATTTGAGTTAGCTTGCGCTGGATCGCCCCGTATACTATGTCTGCCTTTGTGGGTTTACTACCTGTCATCACTTCGTCTACTTCTGGATTTGTAGCGTTTATAATTGCTTTGGCCTTATCTAACATTGCCAACTCAGCTTTAGATACTCCTTTTTCTACCTCTTTGTCCGATTTTAGGAGTAGTTCGGCCAGTGCTCTAAAATCTCCCCTTTTCGACAATTGCTCTAGTTCTTCTTCTTCTTTCTTAGCCTCTTTGCCCCGCTTGTTTAGTGCTTTGGAATCGTAACGTTTGGCTAGTTTGATTAGTTTGGTTTCAATCGTGGCTATTTCTTCTTCTAAGTGTACTGG